AAAGTTATTATTTACATCAGAGGGAAAAAAGAAAAGAAAGAGGCTAAAGAGGGGAAGTAAAGAAGAAAAAGGAAAAATAGAGAAAGAATAAAGGAAAAAAGAAAAAGAGAGAGACAGGGCCCTGGGTTAAGATGTCGTATTCCAGCGAACAGTTTCAACAATAACTGTCAGTTGTGAAACTTTCAGTGTGTCCTCATGTTTCTTTGGTTGGTGCTTAGGAGAATCGTGGAATATTGAAAAAGAAAAAACAAAACTTGGTGACCGTTTATGTGGATAATACCTCCCACCTTCTTTAATCAAGTGAAACATCCTGAGAGAAACACAGTGGAGTCTATTCAGATTAATTTATTCCCCAGATGTCCTGACAGAGTGACTCAGCCGTGAGACAGGGATGGGGTCAGGTTGAGTTCCCTTGTACGGAGCCCGTTCCCACACAAAGAGTTGAATACAGTTCTAAGAAACCATTCTTACTTTCTTTCTCTCCTCCATCAACTTCCTCAGTCTGGGGATGAGAGATAGTATAATTCTGAGTAATCAGGCTCCTCTTGAAATCCCATTTCGGCAGAAAACTGGCTGGGTTCCTGGCCCAAAACAGAACACCTGCCAGACTGACTTCTCCCGAGGTAATGGAAGAAGCACAGATGTCATCAGTCACTGTTGACTTAACAATCTGTTTCCACTACCCACAGTCTGGCCTCGTCGCTTCCATTTCTGCCTGCACCTCTCTCACAACTACACAAAAGCCCTTGATTAAAAAAAAAAAAAGAAAAAGAAACACCACAAGTATATTTTCCAAGCTTAGGAAGGTATTAGAGAAGGGCAGGCCTCTTGAGAAAGTGTTTCTTGTGTTTTATTTCATTTGATACCAATGGTTTCTGTGTTTGGTCTAAGAACACTTCAAGATGGAGAAACTTTCCATACATACGTACTTGTGATTGTCATTTCCTGGGAGAGGAACCACTTGAACACCAATTTACTGTCTGCTCAGTTACGAATCTGCACCAAGCATAACTCTCCTAAAATTCAGGCCTTGTGCTTTATTTATTTTTTATTGAAGTAGAGTC